GAAATTTTGTAGATTTGTATAAAAATCTCCGGATTTTGCCATTTTATAGTTCACACTAACATATTATAAAATGCGATTAAAATTCTGCTTTCCTTTCTTTGAAATTCGATTAATCGTTATTTTAAATTTTCTTTTATAAAACTCATCATCATAATATGATTTGTGTTTTTATTTGTCTTTTAATAATCTTGCACTTTGCAACATTAATTTATAATTGTGAAATTCTTTTGGTGTTTCATACACTTTTTACAATTTAATTGGGACTCAAAAACACACATCTTAAAACAAAAAAGGCATCATCATACTATTTCTTTTTTTGGTCTAAAGCACACGTAATTTTTTGTCTGAATAATGATTAATACTAAACTTGTATGTGTTTTTCTCTGACAACAATATAAATTGTACACGTATGTCAGGAGCTTAAGAGGAATGGTTTATTTGAATTACAAATAATAAAAATAAACTACTTGATTATCGATTAAAAGTAATTGATTGAGGTAAACAAGATATGAAAGTAAAATAGTTTAGTAATTGGAATATTTTTAAATTTTCTCTATTTAACATTATAACTAAAATCTAGTCTATGGTCTAACTTATATTCGTTTCACAATTTATTTATAGACTATAGACTAGACTATAGACTAGTCTATAGTCTAGTCTATAGTCTAGTCTATAGTCTAGTCTATAGTCTAGTCTATAGTCTAGTCTATAGTCTAGTCTATAGTCTAGTCTATAGTCTAGTCTATAGTCTAGTCTATAGTCTAGTCTATAGTCTAGTCTATAGTCTAGTCTATAGTCTAGTCTATAGTCTAGTCTATAGTCTAGTCCAGCGGTTCCCACAGATTTTTACTTCGCGGACCCCTTGAAGAACTTATTTTATTTCGCGGACCCCCATACATATTTTTTTTTCCTGTACATTGAGAATATATAATATTTCAGATAGGTTTTCAATTGCATGTTTTGAAGATAGAATGACTTCTTTGTTGATATGTTAACATGATGTTTAATTTTATGATCGTGTGATCTTTCATCTTCATTTTTCTTCAAGGTAGCGAAAAGGTTTCTTTATCAAATATTGTCACATGTGCTTAAGGAGTCACGTTTCAAAAATTTGTTGCGATTGCAAAGGGTGAACTGAGTAAGTGAGCTAAGTTTTCGGGAAAATAATATAAGAAAGTTGGACTTCTTCTATGTTGTTGCGGAATGCGTTATCCGCATAATATATGATTTGAACTCTTTGTTAAAGTACTGTGAATTTGGAACTTAAATTTGAATTTTAAAATACCAACGAATTATTTTACTTCATGGTTTTTGGCTACATATTTACGCGAAACGCTATGGATTTTCTATTGTTAATTTAATAATATGTATTGGTCGACAAAATCAAGTTAAAATCTGTGTATCACGTCGGATTGGAATATTTATATAGAGATGCATAAAGAGTCACCTCTGTTTTGGAAATATATAATTTTAGTCCTTTCAAACGAGAACACTTTTGCTTACAATTTGATAAACTTAAATCTGTAATAAGCTTGTCTTTGAATTGAACTTCATACTCCGGAATACCAGTATCCCTAATTTAATTGTAAGGCAGAGTATTATTTGTCTAAAATAAAAACCATTATTTCAGTACATATACAGGAAATAAAAATTACAAATCACGCAGTACTTTACTTTATAAAAGTTATACAATAAATTTGTAGGGCCTAGCTTCTTCCTGATAAACAACCGAAAAAATAAAATTCAAAAAGTTACCAAAAAATTTGGGATTATTGCACAAAAATTGGAGATATTTGTACATACATATAAAAGCAGAATATTGTTTATTCATGGTTTTTTTCGTTCGTCTTCGCGGACCCCCTAGGATTTTACTACGGACCACTAGGGGTCCGCGGACCCCCATTTGGGAACCGTTGGTCTAGTCTATAGTATAGTCTATAGTCTAGTATAGTCTATAGTCTAGTAGTCTATAGTCTAGTCTAGTCTAGTCTAGTCTAGTCTATAGTGTCTAGTCTATAGTCTAGTCTATAGTCTAGTCTTAGTCTAGTCTATAGTCTAGTCTATAGTCTAGTCTATAGTCTAGTCTATAGTCTAGTCTATAGTCTAGTCTATAGTCTAGTCTATGTCTAGTCTATAGTCTAGTCTATAGTCTCGTCTATAGTCTAGTCTATAGTCTAGTCTATAGTCTAGTCTATAGTCTAGTCTATAGTCTAGTCTATAGTCTAGTCTATAGTCTAGTCTATAGTCTAGTCTTAGTCTAGTCTAGAGTCTAGTCTATAGTCTAGTCTATAGTCTAGTCTAGAGTCTAGTCTATAGTCTAGTCTATAGTCTAGTCTATAGTCTAGTCTTAGTCTAGTCTATAGTCTAGCTAGTCTAGTCATAGTCTAGTCTATAGTCTAGTCTATAGTCTAGTATATAGTCTAGTCTATAGTCTAGTCTATAGTCTAGTCTATAGTCTAGTCTATAGTCTAGTCTTTAGTCTAGTCTATAGTCTAGTCTATATAGTCTAGTCTATAGTCTAGTCTATAGTCTAGTCTATAGTCTAGTCTATAGTCTAATCTATAGTCTAGTCTATAGTCTAGTCTATAGTCTAGTCTATAGTCTAGTCTATTAGTCTAGTCTATAGTCTAGTCCTATAGTCTAGTCTATAGTCTAGTCTATAGTCTAGTCTATAGTCTAGTCTATAGTCTAGTCTATAGTCTAGTCTAGTCTATAGTCTAGTCTATAGTCTAGTCTATAGTCTAGTCTATAGTCTAGTCTATAGTCTAGTCTATAGTCTAGTCTATAGTCTAGTCTATAGTCTAGTCTATAGTCTAGTCTATAGTCTAGTCTATAGTCCAGTCTATAGTCTAGTCTATAGTCCTAGTCTATAGTCTAGTCTAGTAGTCTAGTCTAGTATAGTCCTAGTCTATAGTCTAGTCTATAGTCTAGTCTATAGTCTAGTCTATAGTCTAGTCTATAGTCTAGTCTATAGTCTAGTCTATAGTCTAGTCTATAGTCTAGTCTATAGTCTAGTCTATAGTCTAGTCTATAGTCTAGTCTATAGTCTAGTCTATAGTCTAGTCTATAGTCTAGTCTATAGTCTAGTATATAGTCTAGTCTATAGTCTAGTCTATAGTCTAGTCTATAGTCTAGTCTATATTCTAGTCTACAGTCTGGTCTGTGGTCTACTCTTTAGTTTATTCTATAGTCTAGCCTATATTAATCTAGCCTAGTCTACAGTCTAGTCAATAGACTAGTATAGACTAGTCAATAGTCTAATCTATATTTTAGTCAATAGACTAGTGAATATACTAATCTATATTCTAGTCTATAGTCTGGTCTGTGGTCTACTCTTTAGTTTATCTATATTCCAGTCCTTTCTGGTCTATATTCTGGTCTGTGGTCTACTCTTTAGTTTCGTCTTTAGTCTGGTCTAGTCTATAGTCTTGTTTATATTCTAGTCTACAGTCTAGTCTTGTCTATATACTAGTCTATAGTCTAGTCTATATTCTAGTCTATAGTGTAGTCTATAGTGTAGTTTATAGTGTAGTCTATAGTGTAGTCTATAGCCTAGTCTATAGTCTAGTCTATAGTCTAGTTTATAGTCTAGTCTATAGTCTAGTCTATAGTCTAGTTTATAGTCTAGTCTATAGTCTAGTATATAGTCTAGTTTATAGTCTAGTCTATAGTCTAGTATATAGTCTAGTCTATAGTCTAGTTTATAGCCTAATCTATAGTCTAGTCTATAGTCTAGTCTATAGTCTAGTCTATAATCTAGTCTATAGTCTAGTTTATAGTCTAGTCTATAATCTAGTCTATAGTCTAGTATATAGTCTAGTCTATAATCTAGTCTATAATCTAGTCTATAGTCTAGTCTATAGTCTAGTCTATAGTCTAGTCTATAGTCTAGTCTATGTCTAGTCTATAGTCTAGTCTATAGTCTAGTCTATAGTCTAGTCTATAGTCTAGTCTATAGTCTAGTCTATAGTCTAGTCTATAGTCTAGTCTATAGTCTAGTCTATAGTCTAGTCTATAGTCTAGTCTAGTCTATAGTCTAGTCTATAGTCTAGTCTATAGTCTAGTCTATAGTCTAGTCTAGTCTAGTCTATAGTCTAGTCTATAGTCTATAGTCTAGTCTATAGTCTAGTCTATAGTCTAGTCTATAGTCTAGTCTATAGTCTAGTCTATAGTCTAGTCTATAGTCTAGTCTATAGTCTAGTCTATAGTCTAGTCTATAGTCTAGTCTAGTTTAGTCTATAGTCTAGTCTATAGTGTATTCTAGTCTATTACATAGTCTAGTCTATAGACAAGCAATTTTCTAAACTATCTTTCTATTATTAAGATTTTGTTCCTTTTTTCCAGAATTGCATTCTTTTGTCCCACTGTCAGTGATCATAAAACGTCATATTTTCCTCTCATTCATAAATAGCATGTGGCATCTCTTAAATATTGTATACCTCCCACAAACAAAACAAAAAATGTGTTTTCTTCTTTTTTTCAAAATTTTATTTTTAAAAGAAAACCATCCACAAGAACAACAAGACCAAAGGCATTATCATAAACTAACACATTTTAAGGCCCAGTAGGCAAACGGTGGACAAAGGAATCTAGCAGCTAAAGAAAACTGCGTGCATTTTTAATAAAAAATTATAAGAAACAAAGAAAATTCTTTTAAATTCAAAAATTTCGCAATAATAAAACAAGATTATTAAATTTTTTAAGTTATTATCTAAGAGGTAGTCTTAGAAAATGTTTAGTTATTATAAATATACATACCTTTAAGATAAGATAATTGTGTGTAATAAGATAAACAATTTATTTATATAAATTTTTTTGTTTCTTTTAGATTTAAAATATTTGCAATTGGATTTGCAAAAACCCCAACAATTACAGCAGAATGGATAGAAAAAAGGAGGATTTAGAGGAGAGTAAAATAAAAACTAAATTAGCAACTTTAATTACTCCAGCTGAAGCCACAAATATTTTATCAACAGCAACAACAACACCAACTGATGATGATGCCAGTACTGAGTCTTCGGATTGTCTAGAATCTTGGACTTTAGTTAATGATAAAAATAGTAAACTACGTAATCAATTAGAAGATAATGAAAACCGTGTAGAAATTTTAAAAAATAGCGAAAACGATGACGAAGAAGAGGAGGATGATGAGGTCAACAAGGAGGAAGAAAACGTAAAGGACGTGGAATTAAAAGAGTAAGTTCATTTTGTTTTTTATTAGAAAGATATATTTTAATAATTTGGTTTTTATTGCAGTTCTCTAACTGATGCTAACACTGATGATTTCTCGGATGGCATTTCCATTATTAGTGAAAGCGAAAGTGTGGGTCGCATCTCGCCTCATCCTTATCTGAGAGATCATTTGCATGATTTGAATTTGAAATTTACTTTGGGAGAACATATGGATGATTCTATTATTAATAAATTAAGAGAGGAAATGGATCATGATATTGAACCTTTGGTAGTGCCACAACCTGCTGAACCTGTGTTGGAACAACAGATACGTCAAAGACGTAGAAGCTCCACAGTTGAGGAGAAAAATCAAGCTTTACAGAAAGCTTCACAAACTGTAGCTTTACCAAGCGGTTTCTCTCCTCTGTTTAAACGTGGTCTTCAGGGCATTTTCTATGTGGGTGTGGGTCTAGCCATTTTAGCCTTAATTGGTAAAATTGTCCATCCCACCTGGCAGCCTTTGTCTAAAGGAGGTAGTTCTGCAGATACCTCAGCTGAATTGGAACAAAAAGTCAATGACATGGAATTGCAAAATAATCTAATGAGAGCCGAAATTGATTTACTCAATAAACAAGTGAAATATTTGTCCAGCCTCAATGATCCCCAGCAGCAACATCAACAAAAACAGGGGAAATATAAAGACTACAAAGAAGGCAAAACTTTCAAGGCCTGGGCAGGCAATGGCGATTCCCTTAAACCGGTGGAGATCAGCAAACAAGACCTCAGAAAGCCTTATAAATGTCCGGATGGCTCCTTTGTAGAAATTGCCAATATGTGTATGGAACAGAGTAACTCCAATGAACCTAATATTGTAGAACAATTTGGCCATGTGGTAGAGGATCTTAAGCAACAATCCGAAGCCTTTAAGACCTTTGAAAAGGTGGCTGAGGAACTGCAAGGTTTCCAGGACAATCCCTTTGAACAATTGCAAGAAGTATTTGCTGAACAGAAGGCCCTAGAAGCCGCTAAAAAGGAATTTATAAAAAATAAACCCATCTATGAGACACCACAAGACTATCAACAAAATCTGCCACCTAAAGAGAAATATCAAAAGTATAACAACCACAAAGAAGACAGTTACTCCTCTAAACCTTATAAAACCAATAAATATGATGAGCAAACCAAACTACCCAAAGATCATAAGAAATCTTTTGGCAAAGATGACAAGCACAGTAAAGAGTTTAAGAAATATCAACACAATAATCCTGACAGCACCAAGGACAACTCCAAAGAATGGCACACGGATAAATTCAACAACAACTCCAAAGAAAGAAAATATCGCCGAGATAATTCTAAAGATTTTGATGACTCGCGGGAAAATTCTAGAGAAAATCAATCCAAGGAACGTTTTAATAAACAACAAAAACGGAGATATGATAAAAGTCGTGAAAAAAGCGATAATGATGACAACAGCGGTGAATGGCAAGAGAAATATATGAAACATAGAGAACAATTGCGTAAACAAAATGAGCAAAAATATCAGAATAATAACAAGAACTGGTACATCAAACGTGGCGACAGTCGTGAACATAAACGTAGTGGCGAAAAACAATACAGATGAAGTATTAGTATCACTTCCTCCTTCTAAAAAAAAAACAAAGATCACTCTACTTAAATTAAGAGTTTTTCTTAAATTTCTCACTCTCTCTTTTTTTTAATATTTGGACGAAAAACAATTTTTAAAAAAAATTTTGTTGTGATAGTAAAAAAATACATAATTATAAAATTATATTATAAAAAAAATTATTAAAAATTTAATTTTTTATTTTATGTAAAAAACCCCATTTATATTTTATTTAATTAATAAATTTAATTTTTAAATTTCAATCGTTAATTAAATTTTCGATTTAATTTTAATTTTCTTTTAAAAAATTTTTAAATTTTATTGTAGAAATTTTAGAGTTTTTATTAAAATTACTTTTATTAAAAAAATTAAAAAAAATTGATTTTAAAAAATTTATTTCTTTTGAAAATTTTTATTTCAAAAAATTTCAATTTAAAATTTATTCTTAAACTTAGTTTATGCTTAAGTTGTATACGTTTCATTTTTTAAATAAAAAATTGTTTAACATTTTTAATTATTTTATTTTATTTTTTAACATAAATTCATTTTAAATGTTTTTTTTTCTTCTTATTTTCCTTTTCATTTCTTTTTATATTTAGTTTTAACTGTGTAAAAAATATCTAATTTAAAATATGTGTTAATATTTAATTAATATTTGTCTCATTTTTTTGTTTTTGTGAAATATTATTTCAGTTTTAGTTGTAAAAACGAATATATTATAAAATTTGCATTATCCCCTCCCATTTTATACCCCCCGTCTAAAATACACTTATTGTGCAAGTTATATAGTAAACTAATTATTACACGAGTATAAAAAATCCTATTTGTAAACTAAAACATATTATTATAATAATGATGATGATAATAAATAAAAGAAATTAAAATATTAAACAGAAATTTGAATTATTTTTTTGTAATAAAATCGTAAAGTTCTAGACTGTCATCATACCTAAAACTACATCAAGAAACCTTGAATTTTGAATCCAATATGGGGGCTAGGCTCAAATGAGAAACGAATTTCTCTATTTTTAATACCGAACAAACTACATAAATAGAAAATACAATTTCAACCCTCTAGCACTATTCATTTAGGAAGTATTGGAATTGATCTCTCAGATTTGAGAATAATTTTTCATTCTACTACCTAAAGAAGTAGTGTTTTGAGTTTAAGTTTAAAATATGGTTCCTAAAATAGAACATGTCACTAACGTTAAGAATTGAAAATTATTCAATTTGTTTAGACTTTTGCTGTTTTCGACCGATTTTTCTGAAATTTTCACAGTGTCTACTGTATGTCTGGAAGGAACGAACTATAGACACCTCCCATTTAAAGGAAAATTTTGCACTAACTACTTTGAGATCCATGTCAACATTTGGGTAATAAATTGGTGGACTTTCAATAGGAACTTGGCACGTGCCATATGAATTAAATACAAAAATACGTATGTATTTCTGGGAAAATGATCTAGAACCTTTAAAATTGTAAAGTGGAGTTTTTATTTATATTGACTTTAGTCTAGTGTAAAGTCTTTACTCTAGTCTATAATATAGTATAGGGTATAGTATATCGTTATAGTCTAGCCTAAAGACTAGTCTATATTCTAGTCTATAGTCTAGCCTATAGACTAGTCTATAGTCTATTCTATAGTCCAGTCTATAGTGTAGTCTATAGTCTAGTCAATAGTCTAGTCTATCAAATAGTCAATAGTCTAGTCTATAGTCCAGTCTATAGCCCAGTCTATAGTTCAGTCTATAGTCCAGTCTATAGTGTATTCCATAGTGTAGTCTATAGTCCAGTCTATAGTCCAGTCTATAGTCCAGTATATAGTCCAGTCTATAGTCTAGTTTATAGTCTAGTCTATTCTGGAATAGTCTAGACTTTTCTATTTTGGTCTAGTCTAGTCTATAGTCTAGTCTATAGTCTAGTCTATAGTTTAGTCTAGTCTATAGTCTCGTCTATAGTCTAGTCTATAGTCCTAGTCTATAGTCTAGTCTATAGTCTAGTCTATAGTCTAGTCTATAGTCTATAGTCTAGTCTATAGTCTATAGTCTAGTCTATAGTCTAGTCTATAGTCTAGTCTATAGTCTAGTCTATAGTCTAGTCTATAGTCTAGTCTATAGTCTAGTCTATAGTCCAGTCTATAGTCTAGTCTATAGTCTAGTCTATAGTCTAGTCTATAGTCTAGTCTATAGTCTAGTCTATAGTCTAGTCTATAGTCTAGTCTATAGTCTAGTCTATAGTCTAGTCTATAGTCTAGTCTATAGTCTAGTCTATAGTCTAGTCTATAGTCTAGTCTATAGTCTAGTCTATAGTCTAGTCTATAGTCTAGTCTATAGTCTAGTCTATAGTCTAGTCTATAGTCTAGTCTATAGTCTAGTCTATAGTCTAGTCTATAGTCTAGTCTATAGTCTAGTCTATAGTCTAGTCTATAGTCTAGTCTATAGTCTAGTCTATAGTCTAGTCTATAGTCTAGTCTATAGTCTAGTCTATAGTCTAGTCTATAGTCTAGTCTATAGTCTAGTCTATAGTCTAGTCTATAGTCTAGTCTATAGTCTAGTCTATAGTCTAGTCTATAGTCTAGTCTATAGTCTAGTCTATAGTCTAGTCTATAGTCTAGTCTATAGTCTAGTCTATAGTCTAGTCTATAGTCTAGTCTATAGTCTAGTCTATAGTCTAGTCTATAGCCTAGTCTATAGCCTAGTCTATAGTCTAGTCTATAGTCTAGTCTATAGCCTAGTCTATAGTCTAGTCTATAGTCTATAGTCTAGTCTATAGTCTAGTCTATAGTCTAGTCTATAGTCTAGTCTATAGTCTAGTCTATAGTCTAGTCTATAGTCTAGTCTATAGTCTAGTCTATAGTCTAGTCTATAGTCTAGTCTATAGTCTAGTCTATAGTCTAGTCTATAGTCTAGTCTATAGTCTAGTCTATAGTCTAGTCTATAGTCTAGTCTATAGTCTAGTCTATAGTCTAGTCTATAGTCTAGTCTATAGTCTAGTCTATAGTCTAGTCTATAGTCTAGTCTATAGTCTAGTCTATAGTCTAGTCTATAGTCTAGTCTATAGTCTAGTCTATAGTCTAGTCTATAGTCTAGTCTATAGTCTAGTCTATAGTCTAGTCTATAGTCTAGTCTATAGTCTAGTCTATAGTCTAGTCTATAGTCTAGTCTATAGTCTAGTCTATAGTCTAGTCTATAGTCTAGTCTATAGTCTAGTCTATAGTCTAGTCTATAGTCTAGTCTATAGTCTAGTCTATAGTCTAGTCTATAGTCTAGTCTATAGTCTAGTCTATAGTCTAGTCTATAGTCTAGTCTATAGTCTAGTCTATAGTCTAGTCTATAGTCTAGTCTATAGTCTAGTCTATAGTCTAGTCTATAGTCTAGTCTATAGTCTAGTCTATAGTCTAGTCTATAGTCTAGTCTATAGTCTAGTCTATAGTCTAGTCTAGTCTATAGTCTAGTCTAGTCTATAGTCTAGTCTAGTCTATAGTCTAGTCTAGTCTATAGTCTAGTCTATAGTCTAGTCTATAGTCTAGTCTATAGTCTAGTCTATAGTCTAGTCTATAGTCTAGTCTATAGTCTAGTCTATAGTCTAGTCTATAGTCTAGTCTATAGTCTAGTCTATAGTCTAGTCTATAGTCTAGTCTATAGTCTAGTCTATAGTCTAGTCTATAGTCTAGTCTATAGTCTAGTCTATAGTCTAGTCTAGTCTAGTCTATAGTCTAGTCTATAGTCTAGTCTAGTCTATAGTCTAGTCTATAGTCTAGTCTATAGTCTAGTCTATAGTCTAGTCTATAGTCTAGTCTATAGTCTAGTCTATAGTCTAGTCTATAGTCTAGTCTATAGTCTAGTCTATAGTCTAGTCTATAGTCTAGTCTATAGTCTAGTCTATAGTCTAGTCTATAGTCTAGTCTATAGTCTTAGTCTATAGTCTAGTCTATAGTCTAGTCTATAGTCTAGTCTATAGTCTAGTCTATAGTCTAGTCTATAGTCTAGTCTATAGTCTAGTCTATAGTCTAGTCTATAGTCTAGTCTATAGTCTAGTCTATAGTATAGTCTATAGTCTAGTCTATAGTATAGTCTATAGTCTAGTCTATAGTCTAGTCTATAGTCTAGTCTATAGTCTAGTCTATAGTCTAGTCTATAGTCTAGTCTATAGTCTTAGTCTATAGTCTAGTCTATAGTCTAGTCTATAGTCTAGTCTATAGTCTAGTCTATAGTCTAGTCTATAGTCTAGTCTAGTCTAGTCTATAGTCTAGTCTATAGTCTAGTCTATAGTCTAGTCTATAGTCTAGTCTATAGTCTAGTCTATAGTCTAGTCTATAGTCTAGTCTATAGTCTAGTCTATAGTCTAGTCTATAGTTAGTCTATAGTCTAGTCTATAGTCTAGTCTATAGTCTAGTCTATAGTCTAGTCTATAGTCTAGTCTATAGTCTAGTCTATAGTCTAGTCTATAGTCTAGTCTATAGTCTAGTCTATAGTCTAGTCTATAGTCTAGTCTATAGTCTAGTCTATAGTCTAGTCTATAGTCTAGTCTATAGTCTAGTCTATAGTCTAGTCTATAGTCTAGTCTATAGTCTAGTCTATAGTCTAGTCTATAGTCTAGTCTATAGTCTAGTCTATAGTCTAGTCTATAGTCTAGTCTATAGTCTAGTCTATAGTCTAGTCTAGTCTATAGTCTAGTCTATAGTCTAGTCTAGTCTAGTCTAGTCTAGTCTATAGTCTAGTCTATAGTCTAGTCTATAGTCTAGTCTATAGTCTAGTCTATAGTCTAGTCTATAGTCTAGTCTATAGTCTAGTCTATAGTCTAGTCTATAGTCTAGTCTATAGTCTAGTCTATAGTCTAGTCTATAGTCTAGTCTATAGTCTAGTCTATAGTCTAGTCTATAGTCTAGTCTATAGTTAGTCTATAGTCTAGTCTATAGTCTAGTCTATAGTCTAGTCTATAGTCTAGTCTATAGTCTAGTCTATAGTCTAGTCTATAGTCTAGTCTATGTCTA